ATTAATATGCTCTCTAAGCCTATTCGTGAGACTTTGCAATTTTTCTTATTTCATTTACCACTGAATTCACGCCTAGATCAATGTGTAGGCCAACAGATCTAACATACATAGGAGCATTAACTAAAGTCCTTAGTACCTTACTTTGAAAGCGCTGAATGCAGGCAATAGAGCTTTGACTTGAGTTGTGCTCCGTAGGCCCAGACTGGACTTGGAACTTGATTGTATATTAACATCTTGTTTTCGACTGATAAACTGGATTTCCTGCCAACTAGATGGTAAAGTTTAGCGAATTTCATAACAAGCTCACTCCTTAGCTTAGCATCTAAGGTGATACTTAGGTACTTAGCACTGTTATGTTGTGGTGTAGGAGTATTATTTATATAAATTGGACGATATGCCGATTTTTTCAATGTAAAGTCGACGTGAATTAATTTGGAGTCGTTTAATTTGATGCGCCACTTAGATGCCCATTTGGTAATTGCATTGACTGCTGTCTGCACTCGTCAGGTAGACACAGGTTAATTCTCCAGCTGCTAACAATGCTGTATCATCCGCAAATGTCGCTGTTACATAACTTGGGTCAGTTGGGATGTCACTGGTAAAAAGCATTGGCCCCAACTGGCTTCCCTTGGCAACACCCATCTCTATCGGTTGCCATTTAGAGTATGAATCTCTTGTTTAATGCGGAAGTATCTATCTTTTAAGTAGGAAGCAATTATTTCGCAATATTGTTTGGGTAACATGCATTTTCATTTGAGCAGCAGACCCGAATGCCAAACTTTGTCAAATGCTCGAGACACGTCCAAGAAGGTCGCCGAACAAACATTCGTTTCATCCATTGTATTTCCAACGAAATTAACAATTCGGTGCACCTGATCAATTGTTAAATGGTGGTAACGAAAGCTAAATGGATGTGCTGGTATGGGTCGTTTACGATCGATTATTGGTTTGCGCCTATTTATGAGTACATTTTTAAAGATTTTGGATAAAGCTGGCAGCAGCGATATGGGCCTATATGATGTAACATCGTGAAATCTTTTACCCGGCTTAGATATCATTATGACTTCAGATACTTTCCAAAGCGATGGCACGTATCTTAGGCACAGTTTATAATGTTTACGAATTTCTTTAGTAAATTGCGTAATTTCTCCGGACCCAGGTGCTTGTTTGAGCCTTGTGTTCCCGAAAAGATTTTTAACTTCTTTACTAGTAACTGGAGAAATGCTGACGTGTGAATCCAAACAACTATTTTTACAGTTTATCTCATATTCATCGTTGGGCGTAAATGTGCTTCTCAAATGATTTGCAAATACGACAGCTTTATGTTTATCCGTTCATGCCCATGTAGTTTCGTTTAGTTTTATTGGTGCGACATGTTTTATTTCTTTATCCATATTTCTTGCAGCTTTCCAAAGAGAACACTCAGTGTATGTTTAGCCAAATAAGTTATAAATGAATAATTTTTAAACTATCTAATTTGTGTCCTTAGTTGCGCTGTACATTTCTTAAGCTCAGTTTTGAGAGCAGAAGACCTAGTTTGCCGCAATGCCCGTCGAAGTTTGCGCTTTTAATGGATACTTTCTACAATATATTTTGGGTATTTGTTTCCACTTAGATTGACGCGAATATTTGGTGTACTCTTCCACGCAGCATTTTGAATTATTTTTGTGAAATATTCAATTTCACAGTCCAGGTCAGTACCTGTCGATACTGACTGACTGACAAGACTTGTGAGTGATCAGAGCTTAGGTCAGAGCTATCTTTAATACTTATGTTGATTTTCGGTAGTTTATTAACTATAAAGAAGTCAAAAAGGTCTGGTAATTTCCTACCATCTGTAGGCCAATAAGTGGGTCTACCTGTAGAAGCAATGTTGCATCTAACTGCTTGTATAGCTTTGAGAAGTCCTTTGCTTCAAAGTCGCCACCCATGATGTACCTTCCGTCATATTTTTTAATAAATTCATATACGTAGCTATTTTTATATTATGTCTATACAGAGCAGTAAGAAATAATGGGTGTTTGTGCAGTTTAACTGAAATTGTTGTCGATTGAATTTCTTCCGTCTTAATCGGATCTTTCTCGCAGTGTTCAGTGTTGCTTTTGATTAATATTGCGCTCCCTCCTCGTGCTGAGTTTGCTGGGTGTGGAGTGTGATATCTTTCTATTATATATAAAAGTTTTCTGCTGCTGTCGAGAATCAACTAACATAAGAGCGAGTTAGCTCGCGCTCGGCGGGGGGCGGACGTAGGCGAGCGAGCGAAGCGAGCGTCCCGGAGCGCAGCGGAGGGCGCCTAGTAATTCATAATTTTTAAATTTCAAATTAAATTTCATAAAATGCGTCTCGGACAACAGACATATGTATATAAATATTTCTGTCGTGTAGAATAACTTCTAATTCAGTCGCTGATTTAGGGACTTAAATAGTTTCCCTTATTCATTTAGTTTATTCAAAATTTGGAACGGAGCGGACTACTTTGTTTAGCCATTTGCGCAAATGTAACTTTAGAAACGGAAGGGAGGGAGTTTACTTCACCTCTGTTCACAACGGGTTTGTTAGTCAGAGCAACTGTGTTAACATTCCTTTTATCTTTAAGTTTTTGCAGTTCTTTTCAACGACACAACCACGGTATCTTGCAGGATGAGAATCGCTTTTTCAGCTTTGCTGTATTCAGTAGTAGGATGTTTGCCTCCTCATTTCACACACCTCGGTGGTTTACCGCAGAAGTTATTTGTTTGTCCAAAAGCTTGACTGTTTTTTGCACTGTGGAATTAATTTAAATGCTTGAATAGGCTCAACTTTGACAACGGTAGCATCGAATACTAATAAAAACATATCTAGCGGTTCCTTAGTCTTCCATTTAAATTTATTATTTGCATTTAAGATATTAAAGCCTTGAGCTTTTAGTTCGTTTGTAATTTATAAAAATTACATAGTTTATTATAATAGGAGGTATTTTTATTTTTCAAAAGACTATTAATAGGGAAGTATCAGCGTTTCTTTGAAGAGCGCTTCTTTTTGAGTATCCACTTAGTTTCTTTAACTAGTTCATCTTCGTCAGTTTCATATATTTGATCAACATTCATACTAGAGGGGTTTTTATAAAATTTTCCAATGTAGCCAGATCGAACAAAATAAGACTTTTTGCGAATTTAAATTAAAATACCCAACATTTATTAAGATTCAGTATTATTATACATGTATTCGTTAAACATATGCAGAAACTATTTAAACTGTGACTGTGATTTTGTAATATATTAAAACAATTGATTTTTGAGCTTTCAATACTTTATACCAAATGTATTAGTTCTGAATTAAAAAATAATTTTAACAATTCTCAATTGAAAATTAATACCACTAAGCATGGCATCACAAAGGATTTTATTGCTTACATTTCAATTTCACGTTTTTTTCATTTTCATTGTTTCCCAATTTTTGTTAGTGATCTTCAACAGCAGCAACAAATCTCTCTGTTCACATATTTTTCTGTAGGATTTCAATCTGGCCGTCCCTCTTTTTCCAATTGCTAAACGTCAGACCTCCTGAACTTTGACAGTTGCCTGAGTTCATGAGGTTTTGACGTTTAGCAACTGAGCTCTCATTTCTAGTGAGATATGAGTTGGGCATCTCCTTATCTCGGGTGTTAAGTACGGCTGTCTCTATCAATAATAACTTTTTTTTATTTATTGTTTTTATATTTTGTGAATTCCCAAACGAAAAATATCATTATTTAAACTGATTCCGTGAACTACATACTTTCGTCACGATTATCTGTGTTTGTTAAATACACGACTCTTGCAACTTTTTTGTCAGTTTCCGCGCACTTGAGGACTGCAATCACCTGCGTAATCCTTGTTTTAGGTTCCGTACATTAGGACACTAGCAAAAGTTGTCCGAACTTTTGAACTGTTGTAGAATTTTGCTTTTTTGATAAATTCATCAAATTGCAGTTTTTAATTTTTAATTTGCGGTTTAGTTATAGTGCTTTAGGGTTTTAACTAAGTGCACACCAAAACAACAAAAGTATTTACACAACGAACTGTTTTGTATCCACTGAATCAGCTTTTTCTTGTTGTGGTCGTCATTGCAGTGCAATCATGCATCTATGTATGGATGTTATTGTAAACCTTAATCTACAAGTCCAAACGACCGAAGTCAATTTGATAAATATAGCGACATATATGGCAAAAATAATAGTCTAAAGTATTTGCATACAATTTTAGTACTTCAAAAGATGGTTCAGTGGAATGTGCAAAAACAGTTCGTTGTGTAAATATTGTACTTCGATCATTTCATTCTTTTTGAGCCTAATACATGTATACATAAAAGTCAACTAAAGAGGCAGAAATTGATAATTGATATATTTCGTACATAAAATCTAGGCGAAGATATGAATAAATATTGTGACACAAAAACTTAATATTTTGCCGGAGAAATGTTTTTTGAAATTCTTCATGTATGCATTGCAAAATAAAAAGTCTTAAAACTTATTTTATAGAAAGTAGATATTTCCAGAAACATAAAGCTTGCTGACATTTTAAAAAAATCTGATATTTTGACGTGAGATTTTTTAATTGAAAAGTTGGTCGGTTTTTCCGATTTAAAGTCAAAATAAAGTTTTTGCTAAATATTTTAAATAAAAAAATACTCTGCATGTGACTTAAAAAGGTAAGTATACACCAAATCTCGTGAAAGAACCTTCTTTTTTGTGCAAGATAAAAATAAAAAACCCCAAAACTTGGTTATTTTAATTTTTCACATAAATTTTGAGGCTATGTGAAGAACTTTGAGGTTACGAAACTTGTAGATCTTTTCATTACCTACAGCTTTGCCATAAACAGAGCATCAAATTAACTTGAAGAAACACACTCAGATCAATTAATAAGTTTATATACTTGTAGTCTACGTTCCAGTACAAGTATTTTCCATGCCTACTGTTCCATTGTCATACTTACCATACACACTACTTTTGGATACTAGACAAATGTATATGTACTTACAATCTTCGAAAATTTGCGTCGTCTCCTTTATTACCGAAGGCAGATACGGAATCATTTGAAAAATCCAATATATTGGTTGGAATCCATCCTTCTTTGCAATTTTCCGTTGAACCAAATAATCTCACATACCACCTATAAATTACCACTTTTACATATTTGGTCACTTATAATATAAATAATATACCTTGAGTTAAGCTCTGGTTTAAAGTCACGTAATTTGTCTCTGAAATTTATAAATTTTATATTATTTAATCTCTCATATTTTTTTATGTACCTCGAAAACGTATCGCCCTCAGTTGTTTTTAAAATTTCCACTAGATCCCCTCTAGATAAGGATATTGAATCAGGTGAGTCGGCGAAAAATTCTTGATTTATTACTAGAATGTTGTCAATCTAAAAATAAAATTCAATAAAATATACTTAAAATGCAGTTCATTTTCCAGTTTCCTAGTTCTTGTATATCATAAGAAATATTGATTTATCTTAATTAAATACACACTAAATACACACTAATTTTCAATTCGAGAATATTTCACTGGTACTTCCCCAACTATTCGAATCATATCGGCATGTTATGTAAACACACATTTTGCATTCAATATATCAGTAAAATCTAACCAACATCGAAATTCTTGGTAATAGCAGTAGATTCTCTGTGGATAGAGTCAAACCTCCGAAAAAGCTATTTTTCATGCTTAATAGGTTAAAATCATCAACCGTTTGGAGAACACTGAAATTTGATGTAAAGTCAACTATTGTTTTACTTCAATCTCGGCATTTTGTCATACCGTCTTTCCACTTTCTTAATAGAATTAAAATCAGGGAAATAGATTTTTGATTAACATTGCGGATTCATGTAGAGTATAAAATTTTCTAAAAAATCTGGCTTAGTGCGATTTTTTTCAGTTCAAGAAATCGTATATTTAAAAGCTTTGAAAAGAAAGTTGATAAAATCAAAATTATGGTACATTAAATAACACACAACTTGAAACAATTTGTTAAAAAGATATCAGTGATTTATCGCCAGCACTTTTTGTGTTTGGTAACAATCTTTATCCAGTTCTTCATCAGCAAACTTTTTTGTCAGCCCAAGACATTCTTCGCCTTCCAAGCCAAAATCGTCACTTATAAATCGTGCAAGCGTGTCAACATTACGTTCGCTAAGCTAAAGCATCACCACAAGTCTCCACCAAAATATATATGAGGGCTGAGATATTCTTCATACTAAAGTAGTGAAGAAGAACTCCCGCAAAAATACTCTTCAGGCACTAAATTCGACATACTTATTCATTGTTGTTTACGCTTCAACTTAGTGGCATTTACTGAAAAAGGCGCACAAGGACAGTAGCTTTCAAGCAAATATTCGGAATCTTGGAATAATCAAATTACGCTATTCCTTGGCAAACTGCATGAATATACCATAGTTTTAGACCCATAATATAGGTTTATTTGTCTCATCCTAATGCTAATCCTAAAACACACATATTAAGTGTAGTAAAAAAAAATCCATTGTTTTTCATGAAATTGAGGGCTTTAATTGCCATAGTTAGAATAATCCGATTTAGGTCAAATAAGAGCCGTTTTGTTCGACAACTTGTTGCCATTTTTAAGGGTAATTTCATTATGCCTCCTTCGTTCCTATTGGAAAAAAATCTATTTTCACAAGCCTCTCTTGAAGTGAATTCTTCACGAGCAAAATCGTTCGCTTCTGATGGTAATCACTTAGTACCAGGTCCATACTGTAAGGTGGATGCATAAGAACCTCCAAACCAAGCTCCCGGAGCGAGTCACTATCGATGTGTGTGGCCTGGCGTTGTCATGATGGAACACAATTCCTCTCCTATCGGCCAAAGCTGGCCGCTTCTGGGCGATTGCTTCCTTCAGATGGGCCAATTGTTGAGGGTACAGTTTTGGGTAAATTTTTTTTCGATTCGCAGATGGAAATTCGGTCCATCAGGTTTTTTTGCCGTTACTCGTGTGGCACCCATACATCGAACTTCTTTTAGTATCCAGCCTAATTCACATGGTTCCAAACGGATTTTTGCGAATGATTAAGCTCTTGGGCAATCCAAACAGTGCTTACATGACGGTCGGACTCGACAATGTCCATGATTTTATCGACATTTTCGACAACTGGCCTTCCAGTGCGTAGTGACATCGAAATTACCGGAACGAAATCGACAAAACCAAAATTGCGTGTGATTAGCTCTTACAGTATCAGGACCTGGCTAGCGTTTTCGCATCGCATCTTATCGAAGAAAAACTGTAAAATGTAGCGTATTTTCTCTCGGTTAGTGTTCATCTTTGACGCGAGCTCAAACAAAACTGAATCAACCAACCACAAAACTGTCAAAAAAACTTTTTTAGTCCCGATCGGACTTACACAACGCGAGATACAGATAAATAACGCCACCTATTAGAAAAATAATGGATTTATATTTACTAGACCTAATATATAATAATTTAAATGTGCTTGAGTGCCATTGATAACTTTGAAAATATTTCCAGGTGTCAGCGAAACATCAAAAAATATTAGAATTCGTTATTTGCTGAAATTGTTTATTGTTTAGAATTAACCAGAAGGACAGAAATAATTATCCATTTTGATATATATAATCATGTTCACTTAATGCCAAAAACGTAAAAACTAACTCAAAGCAAAGAGAGGAGAAAACCTGTGGGACTTTGAAATGTTCTCAACCGATGTTGTCCATTACTCATACCCATACCCATAATCGTTTAATTGAACAAAAAGATCTCGTATAACTCAACAAATATTTAATTTTTTTTTAATTTTCATTGTGTATTCTTAAAACATTTATAAATATACTCTGAAACATTCAAAAAAATCGATATAATAATTTTTTGTATATTTGCAAAAATATACATTTTTTTAGACTCTCACACTAGGTGTATCCCTTGAGGAACAAAAACAATTCATATTATTGTATATAAGCAGCACTTGCATATGTTGCTTACATTTTTAAGAAGAAATCTGTAATTGTTTTTGTACAATGTATTGTTTAATCTATGTGAAATAACATGTGAAGCCATATTCTCTATTTCACACAAAAACTAGAAGAAAGAAATAGAAGGTATTTTAAAACTTCTAAAACTGACGAAGACTTTGGAGGATCATCATCTTTCTCTTGCTCCTCAACATCAGCCCCATTCAAAATATCTTCACCAATAAACATATGTATGTTTTTAATGGGAATGCCAGAAAAAAACTTTTTAACGAATTTTTTGTGCAATCAACCAGGAGAAATTAAAACTTTATTCAATTTCAATAACACATATTTTTAACCAATTATGCGGTGAAACCAATTAACCAGGTTCGATTCAGTGGGATAATTTGCACGTGTTTTGTTTGCAATATATATTAGACCGATCAGGTGATTCAAATAAGGAAAATCAATTAATCGATGGTCTATTAAGCGGGGGATACTGTATATTAAAATTCATGACCTGACTAAGCTTCATTACTACAACATTATACTTATTAAATTTTTTACCTTACTACATTAGGAAACAGGTTAGCAATACACAAAACATGTATATACAACGCATTATGTTAATTGCTCTCTCTACTGTGTACTCATATTCGTAACTATAAATTAGGTTGCTATCGAGCATCGAGGTGCTCTTTTATATATGTATTGTATTATTATAATAGATTATGGGCCCAGGCAACGAGACAAGTAAAGAAAAAATAATTCTAAGTGACTGAAAGTGAAATTTCTTGCAGAATTTAAAATGCATTCCGTTACGCATTCTATCGAAAACGTGTAGTAAAGAAAAAAGATGACACTACAGATGAAAAAGCTGCACAAAAGACGAAAAAGCATTAGCAATTTATGCATTCTATTGAAAAGCTGGATGACCACAATTACAGCGCGTGGGTCGTTCATATGAAAAGCGTGCTCATACATGCAGAATTATGGGACGAGGTTTGCGAGGATGACACTGCAGATGTAAAAGCTGCGTTTGTTGCAAAAGACAAAAAAGCATTAGCCAGCTTTATGCTATGCATCAAGTCTTCATAGATAAATAATGCGAAGAACTGCCAAACGTTAGCGTGTCAAATCGGCAGAATCTAAAAGTATAGCAAGCATTTGGAAAAGTTCACAGACCTGTGGAAAAATTGGGCGAGATTGGTTTTACACTGACTGAGGAGTGTTTGTACATATTGTTGTTGTCAAACTTGACCGATGCCTTTGACAATTTCATGGTAGCAATGGAATCACGTGATTCTTCGCCGGCATTAAGTGCGTTGAAAATTAAATTGCTCGTATTAGTTATTTAAAGTGATCAAGGCATTCGCTGAGAAGCAGACTAGACGAGAAATAAAGTGTCTGAGAAACGATAATGGACGTGGGTACTTGAGGGGCGCGTTTGGCAAGCAACGGTATTAAAAAGAAGTTTGAAGACGCGCGAACAGATATTGGTTGGGATGGCACGGAGTATGATTCTACATGCTGGTCTGGATGAGGGCTTCTGACCAGAAGCTATTGACATAGCTGCATACCTTGGGAACCTTTCGGAGACATCAGCCTTAGAGGACATGACCCTATTCGAGTCGTGGTTTGGCAAAAAGCCAACGGTGAGCCATCTGAGAGTATTCGGGATCAAAGCTATAATTTTGGACAAGAAGCATAGCAAAAAGTTTCTCCCAAGCCGAAGTGCGGAACTTTAATCCTAACCTACTCCCAACTCAAGACTCTCCCACGGAACCACCTGATTAAGTATTACTTCGTGGGAGAGATACGACATTTAAGTCTCCTCTATAGTACGGACTGACGAACGCCTAATCTGTTCCATATGTCTTAGTTTTGTCATGATTGAGGCTGCCGCTTCGCTGACAGCTTTCCAATTCTCACTGGACTGACACATAAGTGTCGTCAAGTTTTCCACCATAAAACTACCACCGAGTGAAGTTTTAAGTTTTTCCCTTGTACTCGAAAAGCGAGGGCAATAAAAGAATACGTGCTCAGAGTCTTCAATGCACTCTGTACACATCGGACAGTTCGGACTAACATCATGATGGAATCTGTACAGGTAGCTTCTAAAGCACCCATGTCCGCTTAATATTTGGGTAAGGTGGAAATCCAGGTCCCCATGTCGTCTGTCTATCCACGGGTGGATGTCCGGTATAAGTCTGTGGGTCCACCGTCCTTTGAGTGAGGTTTGCCACCGCTGCTGCCATATTATATATAAGCTTTTGACTCTCTCTGCTCTTTTGGCTCCTAAAGACGACGCTGGTAACTTGTATACTCGCGCGAATTCGTCACCCTGGATGTCAATGGGCATCATACTGGCTATTACTTCCGCAGCCTCGCTGGATATCGTTCGGAAAGCACTGATTACTCTAAGTGCCGACAGCCGGTGTACTG